TCTGTAATTTCTTATTATTGATACTAAAATTGTGGGTTTTTGTTAGATTTTTCGTTTTTTTTATTATTTTGATGTAGGTTTTGTCGGGCAATTGATTATTTTTGCGATCTCTACCAATATATCTTGTATACTGAGTTGCAATTTGCTTGATAATAGAAATCCATGTAAATTATTGAAGATAATCTTTGGTATTAATTGATTGAATTTGGATTGTTTGGTATATTAAAAGACTATGGTATCATTCTGAAGTCCAGCATTTCGAATTTTCGATTCCTTTGCTGTTAGAAGTATTCGAACCCTCGGGTACAATCCGTTCTTCTTTTAACGAGCGTTTGAAGGTTCGGATACTGACCAAAAACTTAATCTGCAAGCCATTTGCTTATTTTAAGAGATTTAGCATTTCAGGAATCTTGTATAGGAAAGGTCGAAGAGTGTGGTAGGTCCTTTATTGCTATGACATTATAACGTTTATAAGGCAATGTCGCTACACGAGTTTATTTTGTGTTTATAACTGTGTACAATCAGTGGTGCTTATCGTTGTGCCATGAATTGTTATAGCTTGGACAGATGTAATGAAGATGATTTAGATAAGGAAATGGAAGCTATAGTAATGTTAGACTAGGAGTATATGTTGTCAAAATATGAAATTGGAGGTGGAATTGCATCAACCATCAAGACCTTAACTCTGTTTAGATAATTGGATTTTTATTCGGCTGGACTACAAGCTAGAAATTAATGTGGGGTTGTTGGATATCCTCCTTAGATCCCATTTGCCGTTTCATGATTGTCTAGCTGTAATTATATCTTGTAAATATACAGTCTTGAGACTTTAGCTCTGCTAACAATAATTTTTTGTGTACGGCTTTCTTGTCTAGTTACGATTGGATTCTATTTACTTGTTTAATCTTGCTTTTCAGCTTATGTTTAGCTTTTTAAATGACTTATTGGATATTTTGGTGGCAGGATGGACATGATTCAGATGAACCTAAGCAAAATACCACTGATATGGCTGCATTTGTAAGTTGTTTGATATTTTTCTGGATTACATGGATGTTTCATCCTTAAAGAAAATTTCTCTTTATATTCTCCTTTCATGTGATTTCATTTTTTTTTTTTATTACTCATGTTTTTTAAAACGCCCTTAGACATGTTTTCTTTACATCCTGATATCTCTGCAAAGAACTATTTATTTGTATATAACTTCACATCTAGGGCTTGCTGTAATGTTATATTTCAAGGAAATTGCATCTTGATTAATCTCACTGTATTGAACTTGATTGATTGCATTTTTCCTATTGTGAATGTAACCTTGTACCATACATGTTACTGACTGTATGTCTTCATAACAATGGGGTCTTTGTGCTCTCTGATAGTATTGCTCTGTAATACTTACGATTTATGTTTGTTTTTCAGGTGCAAAATCTTCTTCAGCAAATGGTAATTGGTGCTTCATACCCCTTATAATGTATGCTAATGCCGTTGTTGACATTAATTTTTCTTTTGCAGCAAACCAGGTTTCAAGCTATGTCTGAGGGCATTGTGACAAAAAATATCCTTTTTCTTCATCTCTTAAGCATTAAATAATAGTGTTTGTTACATTTGTTGAAATGCAGGCTATATAAAAGAAATCCGTTCGTGGGCACAATTTTTTTTTTTTATTTGCACATCAGTTATAACCCAACTTTTCTTTTCACTTGCATTATACTCTGTACAACTGATGAGGCAGGGTGGGATGCATTTACTAAGATTTAGGCTGTGAAAAATTTTCATCTCCTTGCTCAGTGTGCTTATGTTTTGGTTCGTCCAAATTTACATAACTTTGCTTACCAAACGAATGTTGTCTTGCAAGACCATCATTAAATGCTTTAGTTGCTACTTGCTAGTTTGTTTATTTGGCTATTGTTTTTATCTTTTCATGAGGACTGAGTTTCAGAATTTCTGTCTATCAATGACATGGTTAAGATTACTGCCATAATCTTCTAGACTGTTTTGTTCTTAACCACAATTGCACTAGATGAGATGGGTAATCGTATCAATGAACTAGAGCAGAGCATTAAGGATCTGAAAGAAGAAATGGGGCCAGAAGAGTCCCCCTCTCCAGTGCCAGCGTCAAAATCTAAGCCTGATGATTCCAAGCCAGAGGATTCTTCTAATACCACCGAATGACGTCCGTCAAGGATTCAAGGTGCCTACTTTCCATTGGTTACTTTTGGGATCTCTCTATGTTCTGATATTAACATTTCTCAAGAAATTTGTTCTTGAATCAATGCTATGAAGTTTGAACAATGTGTGTCACTGGAGATTTGCTGTGTGTAGCTTAGTGCCTGTTTAGCAGTTACCAATTTTCTTGACTTGATGTGTGAAGAGGTGATAGTTAATGATCTTTTGTATCGTAAGGGAGTTAGCAGCCCTTGATATCTATCCTTGATATATGAAGTAAATGTCTCGGTACTAGCACCATCTTGTGCTTTCATTGTCTTCTATTCCTCAGTTTTGGCCTTGCCAATTCTCGGTTGTTACGGAGTACCTGTCAACCATATGTGATGCTTATGAGTCTAATTATATTGCTGCTGTCTGCAAGGCTGCAAACATATTGAAATTGGTATGAAAGCTTTGCAAGTAGTAGGAGAATAATCATGGACTTAGGTTTGCATTGTTTTCAGGAACTCGACTATATGACTTATGATATCAGTCAGAAAGTCAGTGTGGTAGTACCAAATATTTGACTCTTTCTTCGTTTTTTTTTTTTGGAAAATTTAACGGGAATAATCCAACCTTTTGTCCGTTCTCCCATATTAATCCCACCTTTTGATTATTCCTCATTAATCCAACCTTTGCCCCCCTTTTTCTTATAGCAACCCTTGCAGGTCATCTAACCGTTTCAACCGGTTATAAGTGCTGACGTGGCACTTCCTGATTGGTTTTTTGTTTTTTTTTTATAATTTACTTTTTTTTTTTAAATTTTAATATGTAAAAAAAAAAAGAAAAAAAAAAAACCCACCCTTCTTTCTTCTTTCTCTCTCTTCCCCCATCACCAGATTCACCACCATAGCCCACCCCACTTTTTTCTCTCTCCTCTCTCTTCCTCCATGACCACCTCCTTCATCCTTCTTCCTCCATGACAACCTCTTTCACTAACAACTTACCTCCATGACCACTTACCCACCAACACCACTACAACCCAAAACAACCGCCACAAAATCGGCCCCTAACCCACCACCATTTCCGTCACCCCCACCACAAACCTAGCCGAAATCCCCACCCACCTTCATTTTCGTCACCCTCGAACGCTTTGACCACCACCACACCAAAATCAGCGACCGCGTACTCCCTTTAGCCACCAAACCACTACAAACTACTACCCACTCACCAAAACCACGAACCCCAAACCATCCATGGCCACCATTAAACAACCACCAGGCCATCTTCTCTTGTGTACTCTCCGCTCACTCTCTCCCACTCTCCTTTTTTTTTTTTTTTTTTTTAATTTGAAGCTAATTATTCAAGTACTTAAAATGTTGTATGTAATTATGCTTTTTTATTGAATTAATTCATTAATTTTGTTGAATTTGGATCTTTCATAATTATTTTTCACCTAATTTTGAATTAAGATTGCAATGGTGAGGGGTTGTTGCGTTGGTGGTGTTGTGAATGGGGTGTTGCTATTATGGTTTTGTGAGGTGGTGATTTCGGGTTTGGTGCGTGAGGGAGTAGCAGGGGAGATTTTGGTGGTGTGGTGGATGCGAAGTGGCTGGAGGTTGGTATGGTGAATGCGAAGTGGCTGGATGCGAAGTTGTTTGGAGGTGGAGGGGAGTTGGTGTGAGGGTTGGGCGGTGATGGCAGGGGAAGCTGTGAGGGGGTTGGTGTGTGGTGGCTGTTTCGGTTGCAAATTGAGGGAGTAGTGTTGTTTGGGGCGGTCTGGTGAAGGTGGTGGTGGGATGAGTGGTGACTCCAAAAGAAAGAATGGGAAGATAAAATGGAGGTGGAGCTTTGGGTGGTGGTAATGGAGGAAGAAGATGGCAAATGGTGGGAGGAAGGAGAGGGAAAGAGATGACCGGTTATTTAGGTAACCGGTCATTTGGGTTCATTTTGGGAAGAAGGGGTATAAAGGTTGGATTAATGAGGAATAATCAAAAGGTTGGATTATTCTTGTTAAATTTTCCTTTTTTTTTAACTATATACTTCCGTCGTTTTTTTTTTTTAGTTGTAACAGTTTGACTTTTACACCATTTATGTGCTTCATTTTGACTAGCTTTAATGATTTATAGTTGAGCAAAAATATAGTCATGTGGCTTTTTGTTAGATTCGTCTCGATTTATCTATTTTAGTATCAAATGTTTATAATTTTTACTTATTGATAATTAATGATATTAACGATTGAAATCATGCATTGACAAGCGTAAAAAGAGAAGTATTGCAACTATAAAGAAACGGTGGAAGTATAAAAATAATCATCAAAATTATCCCAAAAGTACACTTGTTACATCTGTAACAAAAAAATTCCCGCAAAAAACTTTTTTTTCGTTAAAAAAGTAACGTGATAAATAAAACATTGGTTCATTTGCACCCCAAATGTAAAAAGATTTATGTTTCACTCTTTCATGGATCCAAATTCTAATTTTTTTTGGCAACCTCTTCATATGTTTTTTGCTTTAATGTAGTGAGTTTATATAAAAAGGTTAATAAAACATTTAAACAATGAACTGTTCGTAGATTATCCTTACTGTAAAATATACATTCATGGGTTTTTAGTTAGCTAATTATTGTAGAAAAAGATTTAGTACTCTGTATTTGTGAATTGCAAATCAAACATCAAAAGATTTTTTAACCTTTTCTATTTTGCATTGAATTCAACGTACCAAACAATTTGAAAAATAATTGAACCATAGTATTATTTACCAGCAAAAATTGTGACAAAATACCTATAAAATATAGGTTGTATAGTTTGTTGCAACAAAAAGAAAGACATACCTTTGTCACACAATTAATAAGACATTCAATTAAAAGTAAAAAATAGCTTTCAACTATATCAAATAATGAAACATAAGGGTAATACATTATGCTGCAACAAATAGACACACTTTCTTAATAATCGCGTTATTAATCATATTAATACAAACAATAAATCCATCATACATAAGATGGACTGCCAAAGAATTTACGAAGTTGCAGAAATAATGACAGAAATGACTAAGAACGTTGGCACCTAGTAATTTCTTGGCAGTTACGTTCATAAGGATTAGCAGTTTCAGTTTCATTAAAAGCGCAGTTGTAGTAACTCAGGCCTGCCTTCGAGCAGGGAACACGATTACGTTCCAGGGCTGAGTAGGATATGTAGATTTCGACATCTAGTAATGTACGTCGGCTGACCTCTGAACTCATCGCATACTCGTTGCTGTCTTTGAAAGAACTCGATATTGTAAGAAGAGAGAAAACCAAGAGAAGGGCAAGAGAAGAGGTTGCTGTTTTCATGCTCATGTTTTACTTTTTTGTGATCTTTCTTCTGCGTTTTTGGTTATGCTGTTTTTTTTTTTTGGGTTGTATTCTATTTTATGTTGTGTCTTTTAAACTTGTAGAACTGGTGGTGACAGCTGACTTGGGATGCTCTTTGACTTGATAAACTAACATAGTAGGTGCCACGAAGGTTGTAACTAATATGATGTTCATTGTATACACTCTTCATTCCAAATTAAAGTCTCATTCACCATTAGAACGCGTTTTTAGGAAGGTGAAATACGATTTGGGTTTTGGCTTATCAACGGTAAATATAACAAAACAAATTAGTAGGATTTGGTTAGATTAAAGTGAATAAATTAACGACAGTGAGATTTGTTGAATTAAAAATATAAAGTACAGATAAAAGTGAAATGAAACTTTTATTAGAGACCAGAGTTTTTGGTGAAATGAGACTTTTATTTGTGGACGAGAGAATACTTTAACATAAAATAAAATAAAATAAAATTTTAGGTTGGTTTGGATTCTTCAATTAACATAGTTGAGGGCACGAAGCTGGACGGTATTAGCATAAATAATTGTTAATTAAGTACTTACGACTTAGCAATTTGTAGACAACAACCTTTTTTTTTTTTTTTTTTTGTTTAGCGTTGTAGACAACAACTTAAATTCTGACTGAAACTAACATTGTTGAGAGCACGTAAGTTGTGGTATGTCTCATTGATTAGATTTTGCTTACATTAATACATTATGACCAACATTTGTACAGCTTTCTAATAATCATTAATTCTTTTTGAGTAAAATAGTCATTGATTCTTATCAACACTAAGCTAATAAATCTCCTAATTCAAATGGTTTTGACTTAATTTTTTCGTTTGTTAAAAAATCTGATATATTACTAGCAAAAGATCATAATTAAAGCCCCTTTTAATCCATAACCATTATGTAAGGCCCAGATTGATAACACAAAACCTCACTTTTCTATAAACTATAAAGTCAAAATTGGAAGTACGTTACAACTAAAACTATTTTTTGGCTTGTACACTCATACTGTCATACACATGATACAATCGATTTTACAATAAAATTGCCCTATTCTCTTAATTGTTTTTATTTTTATTTTTTTAAGGTCAACCGAGCCCCAACGAAAGCTCCTATCACAAAAAAAAAAAAAAAAAAATTGCCTTAAAGGGGTAGGAGGTTGGATTTGTTGCTAATGAGGATCGAACCTCGCACCTCGAGGGTACTAGAAACCTCTTGTGCCATTGCACCAAGTGGTCTCCCTCCCCTTCTCTTAAATTAGACGTAGATAATGGCATAATGCTATGATCTAATAACGTGGATAAATTTTATTATTTTATTTCTTTATTTATTTATTTATTTTTATTTTTTTTATGTAGCGTTTTGTTAAATTTTGTGTTCATATCCAACTTGGGTTGACCGAATGTTCCATATTTTATTACTCCTTGTAGTAGTTGGTACCCTATTCTCCACCTCTTTTGCATAATATTAGAGGCAATTTTATCCACCGTTTCCAATTAGACGAATAACGGACAATGATAATTGTTGTTGCCTTAAGTTAATATGTTATACTCTAATTATTAGCCATATCACAATTATGACATGACGCCTAAAGATTTTCTAGGTTGATACCTTGATTGTTTTCTGTTTTATATAATCTTTCCAATAATGATTTCAAAGGTCACCTCAAAAAATTGATAAGATTTTTTTTTTTTTTTTTTAAAAAATATCTTTAGTATTGTCATTAAGAAAGTGTTAAGAGAAAATAATGCGACAAAATTCGATCTCATATATTTGATTGTACCCTCAAGATTTAAACCAAAAAAGCTTGTTAGACACCTACATCATCAAAGATCAAATTTCAAAATAGAATGATTCAGAGTAAACATAAGTTATGTTATGGCTTCCATTTTTACGCCTATTTGGCTGATAAATACTAAAATATTTCCAGTAACTTTAATACAGCTAATGTAATGCTGCGCAATGACTTGAGGCTAAGTTTTGGCAACTCAAGCCTTTTGCTGGAGCTTTCCTCAGTTCCTCTCCCTTGGTTGCAAAAGTAGCCTGTATGGCCTTATCTTAGCACATAGAATTTCGGTGTTTTTAAGCTTGCTATCGAAGGAGATAATCTGATTGTTATAAACATTATACAACTCTAATTCTGATGTCCCGAGGATTGAACTTATTAGGTACACACTTCAGAGGAATAAAAATTGTATTTGTATGGGCTTAAACTCAATTTTCGTTCTGATTTATAATCAAATTGATATCCACAGCATCCGGTAGCCTACAGGAATGGCTTTTTAGCTATACAACAGAAAACTAAAACTGCACATCATGGCATCAAAATGGCAAAACATGTACACAACAGAAAAACAAATGAAATTTATATAAGATCTTCATCTACACTGTAATGCAGGATGTTGAGCGGCAAAAGACTTGAGATCTCAAAATCTTCTGGATTGCACACACCTCTAATTTGTTAACAATGGCTTACACCAGTAATGTCATCCAAGGAACACACCACATATGAAAAAATGAGATGCCATTGCACGGAAAATAAAATTAAAAAAAAAAAAAAAAAAGTATTTCTCAAAGCAAAATTACCCAGCAGAAAATGTAGCCAAGTACCTCATTTTTCAAGTCTGCTTAACAAATTATCCATAGCAGGAAGCTCTTGTATTATTTGCTGCCAGTCAGGCATTCCCTGAAATCATTTAAGTTTGAAAATATTTAATTACATAGCATGCAAAGCTAAGACACCACCTGTATTAGTTGCGTATACTAAAATCCTGAAGGAAGGCTAATAAAGAGATGCTGCTTGTGAAAAAAACTAGGTTTATATGGTAACAAGTCTAACATCACAGAAATTCATATTTTCTTGATCATCCCTGATGTCATATTGTAATGCACATATTAGAAACATATAAAACTTTTGATGAAATTAGATTCATAATTTAACAATCTTTTGTTTCCAATTTCTAAGTGACCAAGTAATTAGTTACCTTAGATTGACCAACTAAAAAGAAAAAAAGAAAAAAAAAATTTGTGGTCAAAAATCAAAATACTAACTCTCCATATGCACCCATCAAAGTTCCACCATGACCACCCTCACACAACCATCTTCTCTTGCAATTTCATCAAAAATAGATCAAGTCACCAATCTTGAGCCTTTCCCCATCCCCCCCCCCCACTCCCTTTCGTGTTTTCTAATGCTCGAGGGTATTGTTGGTCTCACCAACCGTTGCCATAGTCAAACTCAGCCTTGGATAGGGCTAATGAGGTTTCAGGGGAAGCACAAAAATATTAGTGGTGTCAGTGTTGTCGGTTTGGTTTTGGGTGGGTGGTTGCAATTTTTGAGAAGTAATAAGTACATCAACAGTAGAATTACTCAGTCCCTAAGCAGGCTTCCACCCAACAGAAAGGGGTTGAATTTATGCAGTCCCTAGTCTTAAGTCTTAACACTTAACTCTTATCTGTACAATGAAAAGAGGGATTAACATAATTTTTGGCTGTTTGACAAAGTCCAAAAGCCAATATAAATTTTAGCAAAAACCCAATCACAAAACAAGATCTGAATCTATCTCTATCCCCTCCCTGGCTCCCTCTACTTCCTCAACAATCCCAAAAAAAAAGCCAATTACACTTTATTTCTTTTTGTTGGTATCACCCTCATAATTCGCTCTACAAACTATTCAACCCAAAACAGATTTTCAGGGAGCTCTCTAAGCTACTGATTTAAACAATTCACCATGGCCATATACTCCCACCCCACTTTCAAGTTCGCAAGATGGAGGTTCGAGAACTGTTTAATGCAGAATGGTTTCAAATATCCAAACACCATTAATAAAAGCTTAATTAGCCCTAAAACCTTGCCATTAAACTAACTGCCTTGGATAAAAACATTGCAATGTTAGGCATCTAGTACATGCAGAAGCAGAGTTGATTGATAGCCTATCAAGAAAACTAACCTTGCCTGACCTGCGAACCCGACCATCTAGGCGTAGTATTATGTATACATCCTCACCAGGAGTGACTCCTTCTGATTTTTGCTGGTCCTTTAACCATCTGAAATTAGAATAAGATAAGCAGACCCTAAAGGTTGATATATGTTACAGGTTGGTTCTTGTTCTTAAATTATTCTTCAAAATTTTGTTAAATATTCCAGGGATTGTTGAGGGAAGGGAAGAAGTAAGGAAATACAAGGAAACAAAATACACATAGGATGAAATTGCATCTTGTGGCATAGTGATAGCTGACAAGAGAGACCAAACACAGATTTATTCTTTAAAAAGGGAACTATTATAAATCACCCCCATAGAATAATAATGAAGAAGAAAAGGCACAAATCTTCTGAAACAGATTACATTCTTCACTATGTTTAAAAATATATATATATATATATATATATATATATATATATATATATATATATATATATATATAACAGCTTCAAAAACCTGCTTTTTAGAGTCATGACTCATGATTTCATTTTTCCAATAATCAAAGTCTACTACATATTTACAGGAAATTGCTACAATAAGAAAAATCGACAAAAAGGTCCCAACTATGGCCGATCGTCTTTTTAAAGGTCTAAGCTTTCGTTTAACTGGGGATAGTCCCAACTATGAGAATTTCTTCTCAAATGGGCCCATATGACTAATGACTAATGATAGTCCCTCCTCTCTCATTCCTTTAAAGACAACTCCATAATTTAAACACCACCCACCATCCCCTCCAACGCAATAACTACCACCAACCAGAATGCTGTAAATAAATTAAATTTCTCCCTCACAAATCACTACATCAATGGCCATGGTGGTTTCTTAATTCTTCTATCTCCCCTCCCTGTACCTAGAGCAACTACCATGTATATGCTCTCTACATCGTTCCTATTCCCCATTATCCTGCTTACTGCTGATTTCTTTCTCCTCTTCAACAAATCCTTTCTTTTGGCTTCATCTTCTTTCTTTTCGTTCTTTTACTTCCATAATATAATTATATCATATTGGGGACTGGCTTTAAATAATCAAAAGTTGGGACCTTTTAAAGTGGACAAGTCATAATTGGGACCTTAGTTGTTAATCTTTTTTATATAACATTACTACTCCTATCCTTGATTTTTTCGTATGTGAGTTTGGCACACAGATTAAGCTAGTAGTAATAAAAAGTAGAGTTAAAAAGTTGGTTATTTTTATTATAATTTTAATGTTTCTTGATCAGTCTCACTGCATTGAGAAAATGTTGAAAAAAGACAGTTACTAATTGCAAGCCTAAAAAAAGTCCTTCAGACTCTCATATTCAATTGTATCCAACTGTGAATGATCAAAATGTTATAAATCAAACTTAATATGCTAAAATCATTAGTAGCTTAAGGTATACTGCAGATACATAAATACAACTGCACTAGGACTGCATGCACATACTAGAGGTGAACATTCACAAAACTTCATTAAGCAACCTTGAATTGAAACTAGTAAATTTCAATTAACTTAAAATCTCACTGAATAATTAACCTACAGCATAAACTGCATGTGTTATGAGCTTCAACACAATGAGCATGGGAAGTTGGGAGCAATGAGAATCCACCTATTTGGGAGAGAGGTAGACAGGTAGTTGTATGTAATTTTGTTTTTTTAGAAAAAACGAAACAGATTATGTTAGCTAAATTCACAAAGTGGCATATCCTTCCAGGGTTATAGTTCTATGTTTGTAATTAATAGCAAGTAGGCAAGATAGAAAGCAGAGTCACCTTTCCCATTCTCCAGGGGACACAGCCTCAGCCTTGAATCGTATCTCAGCTTGCAACTTGGATTTTGTAGTTATAGACTGAGCTCGTTTCTCAAAGTCGTCCTAAAAGGTTAGAACACAGAACAAAATTGCTATTAAGATTTAGCAGGTTGGTAAAATTATGCTTAAAATTGATGGGAAATGCACAATCATTTCCGATTCAAGTAATTACTAGAAACAGCCATAACATGCACAACGTGATTGCATGTTCAAACAGAAAATCCTGGTTTTTCAGCAGCAGCATTATCCTTCAATTGCAGATTATTTAGATGCAAATATATAGAATAAACATACCCCAATAGAAGGAAGAGCAGCAGCAGCCTTCGCAGAACCCCCAAAGCCCTTCTTTTCTACTGGAGCTGCCTCAACCACACCCCAAATGACAGGAATTAGAAGAACACCTCTTCTAAGAAGCTCAGTCCTAAACCTTTCAGCTTTTTGCATTGCCATAAAAACATTCTCCCTCTTGCCAGCCAGAATAACCTAGAATCAAACATAGTCTCAGCAAATGAGGGTACTAATTGAGAGAAACTTCAATATCATACACCTATCAACAACTATAAATTGTTAATTGTAAAAAATAAATGATGCACGAAGGGGAAAACACACATGCCATTTAATGCTAAACTGGAGTCAAAGTCTAAGCTATTGTTATTATTCTTTCCTTTTCCAGAAAAGAGCCAAGACCATTTTGCTTATCATATTATGTACACTTAGAGAACAAGGCCAGGAATACATTGCAACTTACTCAACTGGACAGCTATTCAGTATTTCCTATCTTAGGGATAATAGTGAGATCTACTTAAGTCCATAATCATCACGAGTATAACTGATGGTTAATTGAAATATAAGTTCAGTTGAGTAAATACAGAAAAGAATAAGGTACGGATTGACAGGACATAATTTTATTGTTGTGAAAATATTTTTGCACGGCTTACAACAATATAAAATCACAACATTTTTCCTAGAGTAAAGTGTGTATTAACTGTAAATAAAATGGACACCTACAGGTCTAGCAGTGTCCCGTAGCTGCACCAACTCAACAATCCGATTAGTAGAAAGACGTAAAGGTAACCGTGATAGAGTTTCATCTCGAGATATTTGTGCAAGCTGCTCCTCCTCTTTCTTATTATCCCATAGAAACAGTGCCACCAGAATAACAATGCCTGCACATTGCTGATTTTATAACTTAATTACTTTCAAGAAATGTTTTAGTGATACATAATGAAAACACTCAAGCAAGTTCATTTCCATAAAGAGTGAACATGACTCAAACCTCGTGCTTGATGCTAACAAGTGCAGAATATTGTATGTCAGAAATACATAAAATATGTCATGTCTACCTCCTATATTTACAGCAGCATTTCCAGCAGTCTCTAATAGATCAGGAGCACCTTCACCTCCTTGAATTGCTCGGAGCAACCGGGGTAATGTGAAAAAAGTGGAAATTCCTGCAGCTGCTGCAAAAGCTACATAAAAAAATCTCCGGATTCCACGAAATGGAGCTTGGACTTCACTAATGAGCTTGAGGTCTCTCCTGAAACTATCGCCTATATCCTCACCGCCAAGTCTAGCCTGCATTTCAGATTGGAAAACAATTATTTTATTTGAAAGCACCATATTATGCAATGTAATATACTTAGGAGACAGAGAGAAAAAGAAAATGGATGTAATATACTTGAAGCTCATACAAGCAGTATCTAATAAGAAGTCAGTCACTAATTGATAACTAAAACCTCTTCTTGTAGTTCCTTAAATTCTGGTAAAGCTCTGAAAGAGGCTAAGTCTGGGTCATTGAGGATGGTCCCAAATTTAAGGTTATAATCTTTAAGAGCAGTGCGCAAACACTCAGCAGCTAGCTTTCCCTCCCCCCTGCCTCAAAAGAAAAGAAACCAAAGAATCAGTATCACAGATCTGTCAGAATAAATCTTGGAGATTTTCAAAACACTGGATTATTCATTGATAAGATTCAGCAAGAAGAAAAGCATCATGCACAAAGATTAAAGAGATATTGTACTGTTTGTCAGAGTTTCAAATATTCATTTGACCCTAGTCTTTCTGCTTCATGTCCACTAATATTTCGATCTTTTGGTATAAAACAGTTCCTTCACAAGAACATCTTTGAAAAGCTATTGAACTTACAGGATAAATCTAGAAACCAAAATTAAAGCAAATGCCTAATTTATTAGGGGGGGGGGGGGGTTGGGGGGAATGTATGTGTTTCTTTCAAAGGAGACCAATTAGCAAGTTTAGTAGCAAGTCTTGCTTTGTGGTATTAAGATTTTTGAGATGGAGAGACTAATAAATATGCAATGCTAATACCTGAAACATGACCGACAAGGGGCGACAACAGATTCCAAAGCACACTTATCAAAGTCTGGATCACAAGGAAAAGACATAAATTACCTGTAAGCATGACAGCATGCTTTATTGTAAAGTGCTGCTTGAGCTTCCATAGTATTAGGATTCAAGCTAAGTGCTGTATCAAATTGTACCAGAGCTTCTCTAACCTGCAAAATACAAGTGGACACTCTTTCAATTCAATTTAAATAGGAGAATCTAACAGGTGCGACAAGAAACAGTCCTAATTTACGATTTTGGAAAAAAGAAAAAGAGAAAAGATTATATATACATATATACTCTTTCTATCGGGAAATAAACAATTCAAGATAGACCTAGTGCTTGAATCTTGAGGTCAATAATAGCCCTCAATGTAACCTAATATTATTGGGGTAGGAAAGAGTGAAGACAGGCACAGCAACAGTGGAAGAAACAGCTCTTAGTGAAGTAACTAATTTAATGAATTACTCAACCTCTTTACTGTCTTATACCAATTAGGGTAAGGGTTCACACATTAGGACCTCCCCAAACCCAGTTGGCTTCCCATGTCGGGATCTACAATGGGTGGTTGTTATCGTTGTAGCATAAAGATAAACAATAAGCTTTCTATAAATTTCATGGGAGAAAAATGGTTTATTCTAAATCCATGATTACTTCATTAGATTAATTGAGGATGCTTTCCCCTCAGAAGTAAGATTCAAAAATTGCACAGTGAAAAAAATACAGCAGCAGAGTCAATTACCCAAATTTAGCTTACCTCTAAGTTATTATGAGGACCAAATCCAATGAATATAGCACTTTTGCATCAAAGATATTCAACCACAAGTCTGATATAATGAGGTCTGAACATCAAAATCAGACAGGCACTATGGTTTGGAGAATCAAATTTGAGAAGGCAGGTGAAGGCGCATTTGGAGTTGAGTCAGGCAAGTCAGCAGTTAGGGAAGCCAAAAAAGTATTTTTGTCCCCAAGGAACCATCACCAATCACTGATATCAGGTCTAACCCTTCACGTTAAAAGATCCAAACAAGGGAAGCAGAATAAGAAATATACTCAGCATGAGGTTTGGGATTATACATAGTACATAGGCACATTTGGAGAGCGTTTAGTTGGGTGGAAAACATTTTCAAGGAATATGATTTTTCCATTTTTCTTTGCTTGGTTTACAAAGGGGTGTGAAATAGTGATCCTATGGATGTGAATTAGCTCTCCCAAGGATTGAGATATTTTCTTCCTGAAAAGACGGAGAAAGCCCTATTTTTCTCCCTACCCTTTGCAGCAAATTTCTAGGTACAGCCAGTCGTACCTTGTACATGGTTCAACAAAGGCTAATTTTTTGCCCATGCACTTACCTAGGGAACAAATTGGCAAACAATAAAATGATCATGGTTGCACCTTGCAATATCCCCCTTTACTCTTGTCCCATCTATCCTCTCCCTTCTCTATAAATTTTCTTGTAGAGAATGAAACAAAGGAAAACTAATTTTGCAATCATTTTCCATTGCAAGAACTTTCAGTCAAATCAAATGGAACTACAGTCAAGAAGTGTCCTCATCCCAACAATCCTTTATAACAGTTTTTTTTTTTTTTTTTTTCCAATGCCAATTCTTCCACTAATTATCAATTACAGGTGTCATAGAACGAATAAATTATAAGTTCCCATTATCATCAAAGAAGGAAATTTGAAAGCCCTATAATTGTCCAATTTTGATGGCCAACGAAGTCAAGGAGGCTCTAGGCGTCTAATTTGAAATAGTTAAATACAGTATCAAATTTGAGTACCTAGGTTCAAAATTAAGGACTTCATCTCAAGACATTTTCAAAATTAAACAAATTAGCTCATTTCCTCCCCATCACAAAGCCTATCTACATTCTTTTACTAAACAACCAACTACATTAAAGATCTGTTAGGTTAGTGTGGCTCAAATTCCATAAACCTAACTTAGTATATCTCAAGGTTTCTCAATATTTCTAGAAAACTCTACTACATTGAGAAATTGATGGAGAACTATGGAAGATTCTAGAATTATGTGGCAATTTAAGGAGCGTGTGTAGAAGATTCCACAACTTCTTCCACCTCCATTTCCTTACTATTTATTATACCTAATTATTATATCAATCTATCTATCTCCTAATTATTATATCAATCTTTACATCTTTAATTTGCTTCCAACGTCCACTCACCAAACCTCACAAGACCACTAAACAAATTGGCTATAAAACAACATTCTAATTCATAAATTCTATAACAAAATAAAATCAAAAAACACCCACATTAAAATTTTCATCAATTCAACAAATAATCAACAAAATTCAACAAACCCACATCACAAAATTCCAAACTTGATAAAACATAATCATTAAAATGAAAGACGGAAAAACACACCCTTCCTTTGGAAAAGAGAGAGAGTCCAGAATTGACGCATGACTCCGGCGTCTGCGCAGCCGTATCCGGCGGCGGAGACGAAGAAGTACAACAAATGAAAGAGAATCGAGCTATATTGTGGGCAGTTGAAGAGTTGGGATTGGTGTTGAGAAACCATTGTCTTGTTCTTGTTTTGATTGTATAATGAAAATGGGGTTTTGGGTTTGAGTAGCAGAAGATTTGGTGATGGTGGATAAGTGAAGCTGCCATGTGATAGGACAGAAGAGTGCTTTGGGGGCTTAACCACGGCCCCTGGCTTTCACCTTTACATAAAACAAGTCGTTTGGGTTTGGGATGTCTTTGTTTGCGGTTGATGATCGACTTACGACCAAATTTTGACCTAATACCTGAAGTTATCCAAGTCGAAGTTACTCAATCCTATTTTAACCCGAATTAATTTAACCAAGTTGAATCGATGCCCAAATTAACTTGAACTAGAGTTGAACCAAAATTAAATGATACCCAAAATGTCCGAATCGATTTCAACCTGAATTAATTGACCAGATAGAATTGAATCGAAAATAGCCTAAACTAAAGCAACGTGATTTTTTATACTTCTGTTTTGTAATGTACAAGTGTAATGGATCCAATCTTGACCCAAAGTATCGACCCGACAGAACTTGCCTAATAAGTCCGATCCGAAATGACCCGACTTGAAATCACCAGATCTAAAATGACCCGACTCAACCCGATTATCTATTGATCAAAACATACCCAAAACCTGAAATGACCCCCCTAAATCACCAAACTCAAAAGTGGCTCGAACAACCCAATTACTAGGTTTAAGAAGAAATACATGTAGAGTTTTATTGATGTATTGCTTTTGTTTTTACAATTTTGACTCATTTTTATTTTATATTTTGGATCGTTTAAGTTATTTCAATTTATCTTTACTATCACATGTCCAAGCATCAATAATGGTCGCCCATCTTTCAAGATCACCGTACGATCAGAATCCTACTTGAACATGAAAAAAAAAAATTAAATAAAAAAAAAATCTTATATATTAATTTATTTTTTTCAATAATTTGCTTATATTTGTATCAAACGAGCCCATTAAAATTTATCAAATGCATTTTGATCTTGTCAATATTTTTTCTGGATCTGCCACGGTATACGATAACTTCAATTATCTACAAAATTAACTGCACTACCAAGAATCATTTACTTGTCTGTTGTCACTCTAACACACCATGAGGCCCACAGTTATAGTTTGGATTGTCAAAGCCTAAATTTTCAAGGCATAAAACTCGAACATAAAACATATCCATTGAGGTAAAATTTTGGTAAGTCTTTAGTGTTCCTACCCCAGAGGTTGTGCATGCAAGATGGCAAATGCTTATATTGCTTAATGTGTTAAGAATCACAAATTTTGTTAGTTGAATATTTTTTTTCAAGTTTCAATTCATCTTAACTAAACGATTGCTACTCAAGTTGACATTTCATAGGAATCTTCCCTAGTAGAGTTGTCAAATTGTATTTGTGGATTTTGCCTAAAATACAATGGTACATATGTGAAAGTGTTGGCACAAGATTAGTTTTTGTGAAATGAACAACAATTGGCTAATCTTTATGGATAATGGCTAGGAAATTAGGTCAACTAAGTTAGGGGATCGAAGTATGTAGAATATAGCATTTCTTTAGCTCGTTCACATAAATGGACTAATTAAGTAATAGTACAACTCAATCATCAGACGCTAAATTGAGGAGACACAAATTTGGTGTATGTAATTATAGATAAAATGATCACAACGCTTGTCCATCAATTACCAAAAAATCTACAAACAACTGTGTGGGACATTGTCCACTATTTTTTGTTTATTGTGTGACTTTAGTAATCGTAGTGATCCCAAAAAAAAATAAAAAAAATAAAAGCGGGATGGGCGCATGATTGCTATCACATGCTAAATTGCATGTTAGGTTGTTGTTAAATTACATATCACCTCTGTTTCATGTTAAGTACAATAATTTGACGGACACATACACTTGCCAAATGCCAATACACACAACTTTGACAACCGATATCTCTAATTATCTTGATATACATATACAAAAGTATATTTAAATCTTAAAATATCTTATATATATATATGTATATACTTGTATATCTTATACATGTGAATAGACAAATACTTCTAGTACAAAGTCAAAGTAATATAATCATCATTTATCATATTATTGTAGTGCGCTAAGTAACATTGGTTGAATTTGAACATGCTAGAATAATTGTGAAAATTGCGATGCAGTTACTTTCTTGAAATATATCATTTTATTGTAGTGCGCTAAGTAACATTGGTTGAATTTGAACATGCTAGAATAATTGTGAAAATTGCGGTTACTTTCTTGAAATACAAAAGTAAGGCACAAAGGTTCCTACAGGTTAAATGTATGTCACAAAGTGTATGTCACAAATCAAATTCAATATCAGATCAATAAAGGAAATTAAAGAAGCACAAATCCTTAGCTTTACGTGCGTGTTTCTTGTTTTCATAAATTTGCACACATATTATGAAATGACATACCAACACTATACACGTAATACTTTAAATTAATTCCTTAAATTAATTCGTTTTATATTATGTGTAATATTTATTAAATTGGATGTTACATATTATGTGTATTCAATGTATTATTTCTTTTTTAAGATGTCATTACTCTTTATCTCTCTCCTCATCACATGTATTTTTATCTTTCTCTCTCTATTTAACACTCACAAACAAATTTTGTCAAATAATCTATATTAAGACATTTATTACACGTAATATGAAGCGAAGTTAATATAACACATTCAACTTACGAAGTATATTATATTTAAGCTTCAAAATTAAATAAAGTTACATGCATTTAACAATGTATGGCTTAAATTCCATCTTTTTTATTTTCTTGTCAGATCAAAAGCATGCATGCCTCTATTATGCAGCTGACTATGCTCCCACTATTAACCAAATTTCTGTCATTTGCTTTCTTTTGATACTTGCGTGACTGCTCTGCAACTAATAGTAATTAATTAATTTTATATATTAATTAGATTTTATAAAGAAAATAATATTATTTTTGCTTATGTACATAACCATGTGCGTTAAATAATGCCCATCGACCTTCTCTAAATACAATAATAAGGACAAATTAAACACTCTATTTACACTAAATAAGTGTGTTCCCTACGAAATTACACTTACGAAGTATAAATATTGTTATCATTATTGTGACACGAGAAAAGATTACAACAAACAAAAACACGGTAATAGTCTTTTTTTTTTTTTTTTTTTTTTTTTTGTAACTTAGAAGTATGTAGATCATGTAAGTAACTGAAGAAGTTTGTTTATGAATGAAAATCGACGCATGAGTAAAGGGATTCCAAGTTAAAGTATCAAGTGTTTAACACAGGTTGGTATTATTTAAGATAATATTACAGATTAGGTTAAAATTAAGATCAAGTACTCTTAGGTGATGTTAAACTAACAACGTATGATAATATGGTACGGAGAATACGTGCAAAATATAGTTGGACAACACCGGTGACGTGACTGGTGGCACAATTATGTATTCCACATATCCGTCTAGGCCATGAAAGTAGATGGTACACCTTCTTTTAGAAATACTTTGTGTAAGCTTTGCAGTTAAGAGGAAAGCAGTTTTTGATGCTTTCTAACTCATGTTCAACCATTATAGGCATATAGGCTCAAAGTAGATAATAAGACACAAGCTTAATGTTGTAATGTATACACAATTATATATCATACTAAAGAGGCCGAACTTTACAAAAGATAGCCGATGAGCACCAACCTTAGCTTATTGAATGGTACAAATGCTAAAGAATATATAAGTACGTAAGATTTTGACACTGCGGCCTAAAGATTTTTTATGTGGGGACTTGGATAAGGATGTTTTTTCTAGTTTTGTAGGGTTTATATATGGTTGTTGAGGGGCGATACGCTAACCACGATGTGTAACGGTTAAATAATAAATTTGTGTGATTATATTATTGTTACTAATAATTGACTAATGAAATCTATTAAGTTTTTTAAGAGAATTGCAGTAATGAGGTTGGTAGATTTTCCATTTATTGTTTGTTTACAAATTAACATGCATTTATGTTGGAGGAGAGTCTAACTACATACAAGTTCAACTGAAATTAAAATCAGCTGACAATAGTTATAATAGCCCAATATAATATAATTACGAGTGTATGTTAATCACGTTTATTTTTATGTGATTATTGCATAGTGGTTAATTATGTGGGTTATGCTTAACTTAGTACGAAGTAACAAAACAATATAATATTATGTGTGTGGTTTAATATGCATAGTACTAGTGATCTAATTTCATAATGGTTATTTTTTGAATGCGTATTGCGTACACCATTTTATCAATGCTTGGTATATTAATATTTTGTCGATGTTAATTTCTTGTTCTTGCAATTACTTAAGATATAATTAAAATTCAAGTGTTGAAGTTCTTTGGTTATTTAGAGCATTTGATTTATCTGATTAGAACCTTTCTGAACTTTTAGTTCATTCATTGTCTGTTAAACTTGGTAGCCTTATTAACCTTTTTATAACTCATATGAAGTACGGAGTAGTATAAAGTAATTAAATTCATATTTAAGTTAATTAAACTTAATTATATGAAATATTCTTGCTATTTCCTGGATTTCATTATCTTATCTATCTAAACTTACATTTTGTAAAATACTTCAATCCAGATTGCAAATAGGTGAATAGAATAGGGTCTAAGGCTCTAAGCCGCCCAACTTTGCTTTTTAGCACCACAATGCCTTTGTTATGCTTTCAGTTTGGCTATTATTGGTTAAGGCAAGTCTAAAAAGACATGGTATTCCATTTAGCTCATGTACACAATAGCCATTGAGGGGAAAGATGCTCTTCTAGAGAACAGATTTGATGTTATGTTCCTTGATCTAAAGTTGTGGTTTTATATTGTGTTCTACAATTTGTTAAATCTCCTCACTAGGGAAATATGTAAAAAATCCGTGATATTCAATGAATCAGATGTCCACATTCCCATCTTTTTTATAGTACCGAGAAAGTACTTCGTATAATCGATCTGATACAAAGTAACATAGATTTACGGTAGTAACCAATCGATATGTCACTAACTTCCAGGCGAGGTAAAGGGTCGAATTTTACCAAACTTATTCGATCTGCTGGCCGTTGCCATCTCTTTACCCCAATTAATAACAACCCTTATTGAACTTATTTGCATGAAGGGTCTTACACTCTTAATTCTTCTAATAGCTAGTAAAAGCCTAAAAGGTCATTTCAAATTATTGTTGATTTTTCAATTTCAATATGTTAAAATTAAGT